CCATCGCCAACGTCGTCGTCAAGCTCGGCGAGAAGCCCGCGCTGCCCGCGCTGCCCACGCAGCTGCACACGCACCCCGCGGGCCGCACGCTCGTCATCGCCTGCCCCGGGGCCAGGCCCGAGCACGCCGTGGCCTGGGACAAGGGCTCCGTGCGCCTCTACCGCTCCCGCTACCTCCACGGCGTCAACAGGAGCATGCGGATCTTCATCGACCACGGCAACCACCTGCACATCCTGCGCGTGTGCCGCGGCGACAGGGGCACCTACTACTGCTGGCGCGAGGGCAGGATGGTGGCCGCCTTCCGCCTGAGCGTTGCCACCGACAGCCAGCGCAGGCGGACGCTCGACGACCCCGAGACCAAGTTCGCCATCCAGATCATCCTCGCGAGCTACGTCCTCGTCACCATCGTCTTCGTCGGCATCCACCTGTGCCGCTGCTGCCAGCGGCTCTTCTGGTGCCCTCCCAGGACGTAGCGGCTCCGCTGCAGCCTCGGCCGGGAGCTGTCTTGTCGCTGCTACCGCCTGGACCGTCTCCCTCCAGCTGCAGCCGCATCCTGAGGCGGCTTCGAAACAACCGCGAGCAGAACGCGGCGCAGAGGGAGCGGGAGGAGCGGCGCTGCAGCAGCTCCCCTGGGACCTGCTGGGCTTTGGGAGCCGCGGGCTCTGCTCCTGCCGCTGCGGTGTCATTTTAACCTCAGTCTGGTCCTTTTTGAGAAAAGGCTTCGAGCCACTGCAGTGTTTCCTGGCCGAGCACTGCCGAGCTGTTGGCCCGCAGCAGCGATTCTGCAGAGCCAGTTTGTTCATTAATGGGCTGCTGTAAAAAGACAAGCTGAAAAAATGTCCTCTGACTTAGTCTTTCTTACTTTCCTCACCTTTATTTCTAACATTTTTCCTTTGCTGAAAACTTTGAATGTCCAAGTTTCAAAACACCTAGTGTTCACTGGAGTGTTTTAGCTGTAGCAAAACCATTTTTAAAAATTTGGAACATTTTTTTTTTCTTCATTTGGGAACGAAAAAGAAATTTCCAAGGCAGCTCCGTGTGGGTCTGTGAGCTAGTTAGGTTTCTGCAAGCCGACATTTGTCTGCGACGACAGACGAGCTCCGGTGGGGAAGGTGCCTCCATGGGACATCTTGGCACCAGCGGGGACAACGTGCAGCCAAATATCTGCCTCTGCCCTTCCCGGAGGGGGTGGTTTGGGGCCCGCAAAGCCCGCCGTGTCCCTCTCCCACCAACCACCCACATATGCCAGCTGCCGTTGGCACATACAACGTTTCCCTGTGGAGCCTTTGCAGGGTCTCACAAACCACCCATCAGTCCTGACAGCTCTGGAGGATCCCAGGATGCTCCCAGCTGCAGCCGCCTTGGCGCATCCGCGAAGGAGCTGGATTTGGGGCTGGAGCGCCCAGATCGCTGCTTTTCCTCCCGCTCTGCTGCTGTTCCAGCGCCCGCCTCCCCCCAGGCTGCACCCATGGATGCGCTTCCAAGCGCGTCGCGAGCGGTCCACATTGGCCATGCCCCCCAAGCCACCTGGCAGCAGCAGGCTTGGGCTCCCAAGGGACGTTGGACGTGTCCCAAACAACCGGCAGCTGCTCCGGCCGGGCTCGGGGCCGGCGCGTGCGGGTGCGGAAGCGCGAGCTGCCGTTAGCTTCATCTCCCGTCCCGCGCAGCCACAGGAGCTAGTGCATTAATTCCGTAGCGATGTGGGCTGCGAATGCGCCGGCCTGGAGCATCCCGGGATGTGGGACACCGGGGCGGCTGGGCCCCCCGGCCCTGCGCTGTCCCCAGCCTGCCTATGGGACCCGTGGCAGTGAGTGGCACACGCAGGACACCCCCAGCCTGGGCTGAGCCCCCCATGTCAAACCCGGGCGGCACCTGGGTCTCCTCCGGTAACAGCCCCTGCATCCCGGGATGAGTTTCCCAGAGTCCAGCATCTGCAC